TGTTTGTGGTGGACAGAACCAATTCTGCCTGAACTCTATATTGTTTTTACTTAACTTTGCCCCACAGGAGGGTTTTTCTGACTTGAATCTGTCGCTGCAAGAAATTGTTTCCAAAATGCCGCACAATTAGGGGTCCGCTTTGCAAACATTCTTGGTGGAATTGAGAGGCAATTGGCACAACTCGGTGAATAATCCTTTTACAAGCCTTTATGAACCCAGCACAATGGCTGTTTACAGTTTTGCTGATAGGCCAGGAGTGTTAACAGGCCTTTAGAAAAATCCAGGTAATTGAAGCTTTTGTCTTTCAATGAGCCCCCATAGCTGTCAACAGTTGCCATTCTCTGCATTTTCTTTAAGTTTTTATTTTGACAAGGGCTTTTGTGCAGGGGACAAGGGCAGCGGCGTGGGAGGCGAAGCTGGGGGGCCGAGGCGGCCTTCCTGCGGGCAGGAGGAGACGCCACCGCTCTCCCGCTCCGCAGCCCAAAACAGCTTGCCTGGCTGGAAATCCTTGGGTCGAGGAGAGTTTCCCTATTACTTTGTTACTCTTTTAAACTTCCTCACCATAGAAAACATCAGCTTCGGTTTGCCTTTTTTTGACCCGAGGCCTTTGCTCCATAGCTGAGGGAGATGGAGAAGAGGAGGCTGGAGGAAAGAGGGTGTAAAAATGCTTAAGCCTGTTACCACAGAAACTGAACTGGCCCATTGAAAGCTCCTTGCGTTTTTACCTCCCGAAGAGCAGGGTTCAGCGGTGGTTCTGGTTTTCGCGTCTCTCTGCAAGGTTTGGTTTTGCTGTAGTCATTTCTGTGGCACTCGCACGTGTTCAGCAGCCTGAGAGTTCCTCTTTCCTTATGTGTATGTGGGAGCGCGTTTCTTTAAATTAAAAAAAAAAAAAGCAAACCTGAATGAATGCTGAAGCTTGGTTTTCTTCACCGAAGCTGACTGTTTGTTCTCTTTAGGAGGCATTAGGAGATTAATGCAAGTGGGTAGCGATGAGTTTGCTTCAAGCTCTCCTTTTTGCAGGGCATCGTATGTTAAGCACAAGTCCACGCTGGATAAATGATGGCGTGTTACTTTTTCCCCTATGTTCTCTCATCATGTGGACCCCTCAGTAGCTTTCGTTCAGTTTAAGACTTCATTCTTATGAAGGTTAAGATGTGGTATTTTGCTGAATTAAGAGCCATGCTATAGGAATCGCTGTGGCTGATTTTCTAGGTACCGTAGATACCGTATACTGTTTGTGTATTTAAGTATTTCCAGGTATTTAAGTCTTCCAGGCTGGAAGAGGTAGGAGAGGAAAAGTATTTCATATTAAGACCAAACAAGATGTCGTGCACCTTGCTGTCCAAACTACAGGTTTTAAAGCACACATCTTGCAATCACAACTGCAGGGATGGGCTCCCTGTCTGCACTGAGCCGTATTTGCATGTGGAGCTGCGTCCTTACGGTCCGTAGGGCCCACTGGCTTCCTGAATTGCACGATTGCAGCATTGGTGATTAAACTAAGAAAGATGTAAACTAAAATGAGGCAAAATTCTTTGCTGTCCTTTTCATTTTAAAAACAATTAATTATAGAGTATTTTCGGATCCTGAATGGGGAAAATTATCCTCAGAGAGCAGATATTTGCTTCATTTGTATGTCTGTTTATTTAGCATGTGGATTTGATGGCTCACTTGCTTTTTACAGCTTTCACTTATCTCCGTGAGACAAAGTTGTATATTGGTACAAAGGAAAATTAGGCATCTAAATAAGGCAATCCTGCACCTTTTAGTAATGCAGTCCATCAGTAATGGATTTTTATACGCATTATAGACATATGAATTTTTGAGGCCAAATCTGTTTTTAACAAGAATCTTTTCTTAAAAGCCAGTCAAAGGCTGTCCTTCTTTTTTTCAAAATATCACGATGCAGTAACAAGCATAGCGGCAAGTTTTGGAATTAAAACATTAGAGAGAGAGAGAGAAACTCCAGTATTACGTTATATTTAAATAATAATGGTTATTAAGGTCCCACAAAATTTTTTAATTTCAAATGCTTTTCTGAGAGCTAAATTTATTAAGGCCTACAGTGCTGCAGTTTTATTAAATAGCTTGCCAGGATTCATAGGCCAAAGCATCTGAGTTTTAAAGATCGTTTTACAAGTTTTCTAATCAATATATTTCTAAGCCTAATTTATTTGATTTTTTCTTACTTATATCATTTTTAAGCCTTTTGCATTCGTATTGACATTGCCCAGGCACAGGATTTTAAGCAACACAGACTTGAAAGTACTTTTTATGCCATTTTAGAGAAAGGTGTAATTTGATTGTAATGTTCTTACGTGGTAGCCTGAAAAATTTTAAGTTCTACATCTAAGAAGCTGTAGAGCAGTGCAAACTTTCCCAGCTCATTTTCAGATTTGTCTCAAACCTGTTTTAAGTAGGCTACTGGTTGGGCCCTATTTAAAGTAGGTACATTTTCTATGAATTTCCACCATTGTTGGCAGCAGTGCACACGTATTATGAGCAAGTGACACAGCTTGCTGCTGCTGCCATGTTAGCTATGGAGTCACTTCACCATCCCTTAGAGCCTTTACACTGAGAATAGTGTCTTTCTGGAAGTTAGCCTTAGCCCACTCATAAATTATTGAGCCAGGTGCACATATCACCATGTGAAACTCTTTAGCCTGAGCTGTGCAAGAGTTTGAATCATGTCATCAAAATAGTCTACCTCTAAAATATGTGTGTACAGTGATTAAAATGGTAACTTATGATATAGCCTAGACCAGGTTTAAAGAGCAAAATAATTTGATCTTCGTGACCTACTCAGTTATGCTGGTAATTTGGGGATATGGGCACTCGCCCAGGAGCAGCCGGCGCAAACAGGAGTTGCATGATCCTGACTTGATCTCAGCCCCCCAGGTGGAGAGGAAAGGCTTCTCTTGAGTCATCCTACGTTTCTCAAGAGTGTGTAAATAAGAAGTGTACTGCTGTGACTGCATCTTCCTTCTGCATCTTCCCCCTCCCTTGTTTTTAATAAATGTATTGCTTTGTCAGCACTGTTTGGAGCAAGCACAAATGCAGCAGGTACTGGAGCAGCCCACATGTCCAGCACAACCTGTTTCAGCCTGCCTGGGTTGTGATGGACAAGTAGTCCAGAGGAGAGAAGTTTAATTGTGTGCAATTATGTAGCATGGGTTGAGGGGAGTCAGAAAATAGCTGCTAATGATGATTTATCAAGACTAATGCTAATTTTGATCTGAATATCATGGTTTGTAAAACCATGTTTCCTCTAATGAAGGAGGATTCTCATGAAGTTCAGTGATGGAAATAATCTCAAAAAAAGACACATACAGCTTACAGGAAAGTATTTGCTAAAGCCATGGCTATCTGATGTTCCTGCCTTCCATGCACAAAGTAGTAGGCTAGGATTTAAGGCAATCTGCAGTCATTAATGCTGGTCGTTCCAGTAGGCCTTGTCTGCCCGCAGCTCCCCAGCCCCTGCAAAGCAGCACGCTGCCTTCCTGGGATTTCTTCCATTTTTTGCTTCAGGTTCTTATTTCTCCAGAGTGGTTATAGGTACAATTAGATCTTTGCACATTGTACTAAAACAGTTAGATTTCTCTGTGAAAAACATCTTGTGGATCAGGAAGGGCAGTATAAAACAAGATTTATCTTTGAAAGAGAAGAGAGTTCTGCTTAGTCAAGACTGTAGAAAACGAGATTCCTTACACCAAGCCTTTCCACTGCAAACAGTTAAATGAAAACAAGGACTCAGTTGGAGAACTGAGCAATCTTAACTGCAGAACCGTCATGGCAGATCTCTCCACTGCATCTTTGCTCTTTGTGTGCGTGATGTGTTTCGGAGAATTGAAAAGATTCTTTAAGTGTTTGGGGTCATTTCATCATTTCATGTGCTAAATAAAAGAGATTGCGTAGTCTTTCAAAAAACTGCAGAAAGCTAAGAATGTCACCACTGAACTTTCTGCTTCATAACTTTTGGATAAAAGGATATGATAGGAAAGAGTCCTGCTTCCCCTCCAGGTGGAGCAGGAGCTGGACAAAATGGCCCAGCAGACCCACTCCTGCTTTTGCATGCATGGCACAGAAGCATGTGCCTTCTCGTGGACCATTTCCACATTGGCAGGTTGTCGTTGTTGGTCTGCCCATTCCTGTCTTGTCGAAGCAGGGAACCCAATATGGAGCCACCAACTATGGAAACCCACCTGGACCATCACTGTCAAATGCTGGCTGCAATGCCCGCTGACAGAGAGCGCTCCAGTCCGACACAAAAGCTGCAGAACTCTAGCCATTTTCTGTCTGTATAACGAGCACAGAGAGATTTGTTTTTGTTCCCAACTATAAATCTTTCTGAGCTCCAGCCAATGAGATTTGTATGTCCTGAAACGTTCAGTGCTCAAGTTATCTTTCTGTCACTTGTGCTGGGAAAATAGAGCATTTTATTTTCAGAGGCTGTAAGACTTCACTCTAAAGCTCTTTAAGTAAACACTTCCTCCTGGGATCGTGATCTCATTCAAACTAAAAAATGTACCAGAATTTATGATGTATTTTAATTACTATTCTTGATACCACTCATTAAATTAGAAATTGATTGCCAGTTTCACAGTTTCCTTGTTAGATGACAAAGTACTTATCAAGGTGAAGCAATGCAAAACTGTTACTATATATTCCACAATTTGGGAGGATAAAAAGGCATGTTTTTTGTTTTGGTATTCATGTAACAGTTGTTATTATAAAGCATAGCTGATTGTCTTTTTTGTTTAAAGTTCATTTTCCCTCATTCAAGTAAGAGTACACCATATTTCATATAAAAAGAGATACATTGTCTTTGTCTGGTTTATGCTAGCAGTTTAAAAGGCATTAATGCAAACATCAAAAGTGTATGTTTGATTGAACCGAGAACATAATAAACCGCTATTCTAAGGATTTAAGCGGATGATGCAAGAGATCCGTATACATAAAGGTGTTTCACAAAACCTTCTTTTTTTCTCTCTAATCCACAGTGTGACAGCGAGAGTGATATTGACGATAAGGTAAGACTGAATTTTCTTCTTTCATGTGCTTTACTAGCGTGGAAATTCCCTCATAGACAAAATAAGAATGAATCTAAAAATAATATTTTTCCTCCAGCCTTGATGTCAAATTTAAAAATATCTATACTTGAATGAAAGAATGTTGCATCAGGTAGTCTGTGCTCTTCACCAGTCCATGTTTACAGAAGAGAAACTCCCATGAACATAATAGGCTTCTTGATTAATATGTGAGCATTTGATAGGACCCGAGTCATAGTGTTAGTGCTGTCATTCTGTTTTGGAGGAAGTCTCCTCTGATAACTTCCTGAGAGCCCATATTTTATTTATAGTAACCTTTGAAGAAGTCAATTTTGTAGTCAGTTTAGAAGATGGGACAACCAGTGCCTACCCTCAAAGGCAGTATGTTAACTGTCAAGGAGTGTTTTGTCATGTTGCATGCATATTTATCACAGTGATTTTTCTGACCTTTTCTTTTGATACCGAGGTTGGTTGTTGAAAGGTTGTAGTCATGTGTTTTTGTATAGGGATTTCTTGTTTCACCTTTGCAAGGAAACCAGAGAAATCCCGCTACATAGCAGCAACAGTTGCACCATGCTTTTGAGCATCAAATCTATAACAGACTTGAGTATCCCTCACTGACTTCTGTTCTGGCAGATCAAACTTGGCAGTCTCAGGTTAGATCTTCATCAAACTTTTATTATATTTTGGCTGTCCAGTCTCTTGCATTCATTCATGAGAAGCTACAGCACGCAGGTTTCTACTGGATCAGCATTACAAAAGTAAAGGCTGACTTCAGAAAGCCCTATCTCCTTGACAGCACACCTAGCTGTAGCCATATATTGGAGGTTACTTTGAGTTCAAGAGAGTACAATGAAAACGTCCTCTGGCTAAGTCTTTTTTTAAAAAAATGTTGTTAGACCTTGGGAAGCGTTAAGGCATGTTTCATTTTCTTTTAAAAATCCTATCAGCTACCTAATATTCCTGGAATATGGCAAAAGCTGTGTTTAGGATGAAGGCTTGATAGAAGAGAAACATTTAAATCTTAGCTGTTGAGAATGAAGGATACTCTGCACATTTGTTTTTATATATATGCATGTGAGTATAGCCACTCCGTTCCACCACCACCATCACCCCCCAAGTTCATGTTTCTTACTCACAGGTTGCAAGGCAACAGAGCTGATGGCAGGGGGAGTGAGGGAGAAAAACTGTTCCCTGAAAGCTTAGATACCATGGGGTTAAAACATTTCTTAGACTGCCCAATCAAAGAAAGTAAAAGCAATCACTTAGAAAACTGTTTAAAGATCTGCCAGTCAAACCTCAGATGAAGTTGTAAGTGACATGTAGTTTTATTATACAGCTATGCTATTAATGATTATCTAAATTACACTGGTAGACCCAGCTAGCAGCATTACATCTGAGACTGACGTTTGTTAGATTAGGTTTGACTTCACCTTGTAGAGAAGAAATTGAAATCTGAACAACATTGATTAGCTTTCAGAATGTGGGATCTGAGGTTACCTTCAGAGGAAGCTGCATTGTGTTTGGCTAGTAACTTACTGTCCTTTACAGCAAATGAAAGACTGTAATAGTGTTCCTTACCATTAGGATGGTATTTCTTTACATATCTGTAACTGTAATTTGACCTTCTAGCTCACATATTTTCCAGCTTCCTTCTCCTTAAGGTGACTCCGCTTTATTAATAATGCTTCTTGCCTTCGTAAGGAGAGCAGCACAAGATTGTCATCTTCCTATCTCTTGCCTGATCTGCAAAGGCATGAGACTAGACATTGGTTCCATTAAATAGGTCTCTAGAATTAAGTAGAGATGCTTTTCCTGTCAGCAAAGACACATATGCATGCACATAAACTCACTGAGGTTGAAGTGAAGAGACTTTAGACCTTTCATGGGGAAAATGTAAATGCAACATTGCCTTCAAGCTGGGGAACACAAGAGGAACCTGCCTCTCTGTTAGTACCTGGCATGTTACTCTCCGGGAAGCTCGTTCAATATTCGCCTTAAAGCCTAACCTGGCTGATGCAACAAGGAGCTATAAAAATATTGGCATGAATGTCCTGAGGGATTACACTGAAGAGTATGTTTTCCCTCTTCCGTGCGCTGGCAAAATGTGTCTTCTAATAATGCTCACTGCCTTTTGCAGTCAGATGGAGTATTGGACGTACTGTCTAGCCCAACACGGGGCTTCCCTAATGACATGATGGGTCGGCTGTTTTCCACAGCGCTACAGTGCAGTCCTGCTCTGCTGCTCGGTCAGCAAGAAGCAGCTTTCTCCAGGTACACCGACACGCACTGGCACTAATGAAGGGCAGGGCAGGAATTAATAAGGTACTTTTGATTTGCGTAACAACTTTTCATTAGTCATAAAACAGCGGATCACCATTGTCTGTATATAACACATGAGAAAAACAAAAAAAAAGTTGTTACATACAAGTACAAACTGAGTCAGTGATAGAGCTAGAAGCCAAACTGAAATTTTTCCACCTCCTACTTCTCTCTCTGCCGTGCAGCTAATTATCCACTATTTATGTAGTTCATAGGTGTATGGGGTATTGAGCTCCTAATGTTTTTAAAACATGCACGTTAAAGCAAAATTAAGTCTTTACCCTCACTGCATTGAAAATATAAACAGATTCCTTTTTTTTTTTTCCTTTGCCTTTGTGCAGCGTTGGGCAGGACTCCAGGGGAGGAAAGTAATTGAGCATAGTCAGTCATACCTAAGGTATATCAGAACTGAGGAGTCATTACTTTTGTGCAAGGTGCGGTTTCACAGCAGATTGTGAGAACATTTCCAAACAGTGCGCTGCTATTTTTAATAATCGGAAAACAGGAGCTCAAGACTGGGGACTTGTCCATCCCTTTTACTTTCTGAGAGCTGTCTCTGGCCAAGTATAGCCTTTCATTTCTGCATCACTGCTGAAATCTCAAAGGAAGTAAGTGGGATGATACTTTCTCATACCTATCATTCTGTCACCGCACTCTTTTTGAAGAACTGTTCAAAATACTCAAAACTAATAAACTGAGCTGTCCAGCCATTTAACCAAGCGAAAAACTTAGCAAATCATGCATTCCCAGAGATGGAAATGCAAATCCCACTTCTTCTACAATGTGTTCATTGAAGGACACCATCAGTTTGGACTCTGCAACTGTTAGGAGAATTGCCTGGTAGTTTGTTGAAACTGTGGAGGTGATATTGTGCTTTTTGTGAGGGAGGGGGGAGAGAAAGGGAGTTAGCCTGGTAATCGTATTACGCTATCTCCACACTCTGCAGTAGCTGTGATGTGAGGCTCACGGTCCATAAACATTGTTACTGAAAATATATACTTCCTTTAATAGCAACAACAGCATTAACAGATAGCAATTACCCTTCATTTTCAGGAACTATAAAGTCTCCATTAATTCAAGATTTATGTAGTTATAGCATTTAGCACAGGAATAACACCACAGAGAATTGGTTTATACACATGTAATGAGAGAGCTTATGGCATACTTTAGTGAACATTAACATAATAGAGTAATATAAACCATCAACAGTTCCACTTATTGTCTCTTACCTGCTTTAGCATCACTATGAAAAGTGGCTAGCAGCTTGGTAATGTGCTCTGTTAAATGGTGTTCTGCAGAAAGCCAAAAGTCAACTTGTGTAAAACAAGGGAATGAGTAATCTCTGCTCGTTACTCCAAAATGTTGTTCTCTTTTTTTTAATAACAGTGTTCAAGATTGCATTAAAAAAAGCCTGCTTCTTTCTTTCAAAGTAATTCAGTGTGCACGTTCTTTCAGTCTTGGACTTCTGTCTGCTGTGTGCAAAATTGTGGGTTGTCAGCTTAATTGCTTGGCCCTGGCATATAAGCGAGCTCTCCAAATCAGGGGTTAGATATCAGGCATTCCTTCATTTAATGTGGTGCTAAGTAAGATATATAAAAAATGACACTGCATTTCTAAGTTGAATCAGTATTTACGTACATTTCTTATGTGGTTCGTGTTTATCTTTTAGTGACAGCAAGCAATCTTTAAGACTAGTAAAGCCATATCCAAGGTGGAAGCTAAAGTCAAGTTGCCAGAACAGTGCTTTCACCATGCTCTTCGCAGCAGCGCAGTAGGTCTCTTAGGCCTTTCTTTCTGCAGTGATGTGAATTCAGCCTTGCTGTGCTGTTGCTCACTGTGCTAATTTTTGAGTCCCAATAGGTGCCTGTTACCCTACAGCATCACACAGGCAAGGAGAAGAGCAAGACGGTAGTGCCGGCTGTGATAGCTCAGTCATGGGCCATGTCCCTGCTCTGCCAGGGACATACGGATGTAGGACAGCTCACAGCTTAAGTATGAGATGAGAGACAGCCAGTGGACTCAGATAAATGGGGGGCACGGTGCTAATAGCGTCGTCGTTTCAGCGTATGTCCACAGCCCTGTTGTTGTCTAGCTTTTGTTTTGTAGGTTTTGAGGCAAGGGGGAGATTTTAGGAGGCTTTTGAAGAGGGAGAATCAAGTGGCTTTTTGGCTGCAAGTGGGAAGTTACTCTCTGTAGTGAAAAGCACAGTGGAAAGGTGGAAAGTAGGTGGGGAGGTGCTTATTTGAAAGTTGATCAGTTCTGGCCAGTGAGAGACAAGAGTTGACATTGATACTGAGTGTAAATACTGGGTAGAAGTAAGCCAAAACTATCAAAACTGATAGTTTGCAGTATTAGAAGTGGGAAAATGTGATGGGAACAAAGCCCCAGACTGGGAAGATAATCTTTGCTGCAGCTTTCTGCATGGGTGCAAGGACACAGTTATATCTGCCATAACCAGAGGAAAGGTTAAAATGGTAAATGAAATGTGAGGTGGTGAGAACTTGGCCAAGAATTTTAGCTTTATGGTTGAACAGGGGATGCTCACTATGTTATGTAGAAAACGAATATACAGGACTTAAGCATAGGTTGGATGTTAAGATCTAGATAGTGATCTGAGTCAAAGAGAATGCTGAGAGCTACAGATTTGAGTGAGGGGTGGA